CCGCTACATAGTACATCAGCAGCCCCTCCCCATACAGTACAGACGTTTGCTAGCACAACGTGATTGCACCTTCCTTCCCAGGTGTTCATGTAACATTGACATAATTGTTAGCTAACCAGTTGTGTGTATTTCTTCGTGAAAATGAGTATCGCGGCGTACTCATTTTCACAAAGCATTTGCATCCCCTCTTGGAAAGAGAGATTCGAAATAATTGTCTCCATATCTTCGATAATTAAATTAATCACCGTAATTTAGCTTACACTTATGAATTTAGGGAGCACTTAAAACGTGAAATAATCATTTCACTACCCGACAAACTCCGAACTTTATTCATTCAGTAAGCCTACATAATAGTTTCATATTGCTGTACTATATACTCCAACATCACTGGCGCATGGTAACAACCAACTGACTGCAGACCATTTCCGGTCACACATTACTCTCCATTTAAACACAGCACCCCCTAGTTCCGTCACCTCTTGGGTGGAGCTAATGCTTTTAAATTCAAGTATCCCTGCCCTAATTCTCACATGAGAGATCGAAAAAATGTATCTTAGACTACCTCCACTGCCTGTCAGCAGATGGCTGGGGCAGTTTTCAGCAAACAATGTCTTTAATTATCTATCATTTTGTTATTTACAGTACGTTATTTTAGTATAAATTATAAGGCTTAGAATATGACCCAAGAAACCGACAGGTAGTTAGAACGTTTCAAGTATCATATGTACGGTAAACTTGAATATTCGGTCGTAATCCTTTTTCATACTGTATTCATTTGGCCATGGCCTTGCTACCTGCATTGGGTGCTGACCCCTTTGGGGTCAGTGGCACTACGGCACTCTGCCACTTGGCAAATTTCCAATTTCCAATTAGAATGAGGACCAACAAAGCATTATTAGAAATAAAATTATTAATAAATTAACATATAAAGTAGGCCTTATGTATTAGAGTATTTATTATAGCAATATAATAAATACAGTACCAGAAAGTTAAAGTAGCAGCATGACAATGGAATATAAATATTTTACTGAGTGACAAAAAATAAAAGTGACCCTGCCAGGATTCGAACCTGGAATCCCCTGATTCGTAGTCAGATTCCTTATCCGTTGGGCCACAGGGCCTGCCGCATGAATTCTGTTTCATGGGAATTGATAATATGCAATCAACCATGCCAGGATTCTAACTTGCCACCCCTTGAGTCCGATGCTTTATCCCATTATGACTAGAAAATCGGGTACATCCCACGACTACATAAAGGGTAATATGATGGGATAACAAATTAAAACTCAATCTCAAAATAGGAAAATAACCCTCTTTAGATGTCAAAAGTATCAGTTTTTTTTCAATATTGGCAATAACAAAAATGGTAATTTATTTTTTTTTCTAGAATAGCTTGTAAAAAATGAATGCCAAAATAATGCTATGAATAATTTAAAATATGAAACAATACATTATGTGACAGGATAATTAAAGCAATTAATCTTAACTCGAGTCGAGCCCGGCACATATCGTTATACACACCGAAATTAATATCTGTCATATTACATGAAGGTCTTATTATGCCAGTAGCGATTGACAATTGTTTTTTTAAAGTGTCTGACGTCATATTCTCGCACAGGATGGATAGATATTTATAGATACACTCGTAAAAACTATAGACTAATACTGCTTAGAAAAGTAATATTGACACCAGAGCCTTACTCATTGGTACTGCATTAAGTACCGTGATAACTATAAGACATAGATGCCTGATTTATTGGGCCACAGTATCGGTTGCATACGACAACAAAAATGTATAGAACACGACTACATTTAAGTTATTAATTTTTATCAACTTGTTAAATGTTATACCAGAGGATGCTAAACGGATGGTGTACTAAACAGACTGTATAGTAGGCCTATCGTAATATTTATGAGATGAACAAAAGTTAAGTTACATGAGATAAAATAATATTATTGATTTGCATATTTAATTTTTTTTTTAAAGAAAACGACTCTGCCAGGATTCGAACCTGGAATCCCCTGATTCGTAGTCATACGCTTTATCCGTTTGATCACAGGGCCGGTCGTGCAAAGCCGGGCACTCATCGCACGCGCCCGACCGCCGCCGTCGGCAATCGCAATTCTATGGCGAACACAACGCAACGACGCGCGCAACGAATCGTTTTTAGTGACGATCCGTTCAGACTGCCGCCGACAATCAGCAGACGGTGTCGCGTCATCTAGTGCTCGCAAAGAGCAGAGTTGGATCCGTCGTAAGGCGGTCGTATACGACCGTCGTACGCCTGATTCGTAGTCGGATGCATTATCCTTTGGCCACAGGGTCGGTTGCAATGGTTTTACGTACTGTATGACTACAAAAACACGACTACATTTGCATTATAAATTGTTAATAATTTGTTAAAGGTTACATGCCACAGGGGCAATATAATATTGTATCACAATATTCATGAGACAAAAAAATATAAAAGATTATATCTGAATAAAAATAATACTATTAAATTACATAACAAAGAGAATTAAAATAACGATTCGAGGATTTGGATTCGAACCTGGAATCCCCTGATTCGTAGTCAGATACCTTATCCGTTGGGCCACAGGGCCGGTTGGATTGTTCATACGTATGACTATAAATACGGAGCAGAACACCACGTGTAAATTATAGATTGTTAATAATTTGTTGAAGGTTACGTGCCAGAGGGACAGTATAATATTGTATCACAATATTCATGAGAAACAATATTCATGAGAAAAGCATAAGATTAAATCCAAACGAGAGTAGCTGGTACAAGTTTACCGGGGATATGACCGGTTGAGCCGCCGACAAGTTGAGCCGCCGGTAATTTCTATGGAACGCCAAGCGCGTCTCCCAGTGAATGTAGTGCGTTTCTCAGTGAATGTACAGTAGTCGGTTTGCCGATGTCATCAGTGAATGAACCCCCCGGATACCAGCTACTGTACATATTCATTCCACAGTCTTGTCAGTCGTTGATTTGCTCGTATTGCCGTTCGTGATGTATAATTGTGTAATTGAAAATTAGAATTTTGATATTTTTATGTACTACATTTTTATAAAAATATATGAAGTTGTATAATTGCAAAATCTTATTAAAAATGTAATTTTATGTACTGACTGAGCAAATACTTAAATTAAAACGATAGAAGGAACAAGTAAATAAATTGAAATACATCCCAAAAATATTTAATAAATCAGTGCAAAAACCGAGTATTAAATAAATTGAAATAATTGAGTAAATAAACTGAAATACATCCCAAATAACAGTACCAAGAACGAATAAGTTAATTGAAATACGCCGCAATTAACGCACTACATTCACTGAGAGACGCGCTTGGCGTTCCATAGAAATGACCGGCGGCTCAATTTGTCGGAGGCTCAACCGGTCATAATCCGTTTACCGGCTCAGGTTTGAAGCAAGTTATAAAAAATATATATAAATCTAACTACATTACAACATTACATTACACATTAAATAATACTATCAAATTACATACAAAGAGAATTAAAAATACGACCCTGCCAGGATTCGAACCTGGAATCCCCTGATTCGTAGTCAGATGCCTTATCCATTGGGCCACAGGGCCGGTCAACTAGCGTGTATGAAACGAGTACAGCTCATAAAAAGTGCTCTAGCCTGTGGTTTTATTTTTAACTTCACCATGCATAATACTGTACAGTATATCCAATGTTTTGGAACGATTTCATATTGCTTCTTTTCTTTGTTGTTACATAGATCCATTTGTTAAAGTATATTTGCTACAAGACGGAAAGAAAATTAGCAAGAAAAGAACATCAGTTAAGAGATCTGAATCGTGTCCAATTTATAACGAAGCAATGATTTTCTCAGCACCAGCTTCTCTTCTTGAGGTATGGACGTTCATTCACCTTCCTCCAAAAATACAGGATCAGGAAGTTTTACTTAAATGATGCTTGATTTAATAATGTGGATTCATAGCATACATGGATATTTCTTCCCTCACAACCTCTGGTTAAAAGAATATAGTGGTGTAGGCTGCGTCGGATATCCTAGAACCACTGGAGTCTCGTGGAGCCCCAGTGGGTTATTGGGCAAATCCATGGGTGGCACCAATGGTGCCGGGGGCAGAGACACCCGTCGGTAGGAGCTCCCTCTCTTTTGAAGAAAAACACAATTCGTCATGGAGAAGAAAACAATATAGGCCTATGTGGTTTTTACATATTAGTGACTATAAAATCGATTAAATAAGTCTATGTAACCCCTAAATTGTCATAGTTAATGGGGACATCGCCCCTTGGACCACTTCCTAGGGATTTTAAACGACGTCAGACCACGCCAACTTACACTCTCGTTGGAGACAGTGGACCCGTCGTCGGGCATATAATGGTACTACCATTAGGCAACACCCCCCCCCCCACCACCCCACCGTCTGCTCTGACGTTTTAAGGACGTATTTTGATTTTTGCTTATATAACGGTCTGTTCAATAAGGGTCGGCCCAAATCGGCCGTTTTTGGCCTATAGGTTTGGTAAGGAAATGCCGATATCCCGGGAGGGACCCCTTAAGGTCCGGAGACATGTGAGAGCTCATAGATGTGATGACACTGAAAGAGTACTAGGTGGTCAACCTTGACAACATATCAGACATGTCTTATGAAAAAGAACTCTTCTAATAACTGGCTCTTGAATGATAGTAAACTTATTTATTAACTTAATTATTATTCTGCTATTTTCAATTTCATAGGCATTAACTATTCGGATTACTGTGGCAGAGAACATCCTATCCAGCAAAGCACCGAGTGTGGGCCATGTTTTGATTGGTCCATCGTCCGGCGGTGCTGCTCTCGTTCATTGGCAACAGATGATGTCATCACCTAGGAAACCAATAGCAATGTGGCATCCTCTACAAAAGTACTAAGTTCTAAAAAGAAAACTGATAGCGAAATGTTTAATTAGTATTTTTTACGCGAGCGCACGTCATATTGACAGGATTTAGTAATTCGAATCATTATTGGGCGGTTATGTTTACGCACTGCATCTTAACCAGCCAATGATTGAAATCTCAGAATGCTTAAATTTTAAATGAGCATAGAAGGATGTATGTGTATGAAATTAGGTGTGGTAGGCCTATCAATCTGAGATAAAGCCTGTTATTACACACAATAATCTATCTAAACCGCTATGCTCACCACCCAGACAACTGCGACGTAACTGTTATACTTTTATAATATTAATTTTCCTTACAGATTATCTAGGCATATCTATTAGGCCATATATCTTATGTCTATAGTTTGCACATTTATGATATATGTCCAATAGACCGAATCGGCGCCTCCAGCTACTGGTCACGTGACATGATAGTGGGCACTAAGTAAACAGCCACATCGTTAGTCACAGTGCGCTCAGTTTGAACACAGTATATTGAGAGAGTTATGATGTTTTTTAAACAGCGACCCAAAGTAAAGTAAGGAAGTAGGCCTATTTTTATGTTTTTTAAATAGTGATTTATAATTACTTTGGCAATCTCCGTGCATTTCATTTAGGCTCTGGAATGCTGCTAGTGTAGGCTACATACAGGATAGGCCTGAACTGCACTCTGTAGTGTAAAGCCTTGACCAGCCAAGGCCAGGACCAGGGAGGGAGTTGTTATGTCTCGACTATATATCTCTGTGGTTCAGTAGGTAATAAAGCAGAAAATAACCCTTAATGGTACTGATTGCTCAACCGAACTTTGTCTAGGAAACAGGCTTTTGATAATAGGCCTGGTTGGTATGGTACATCATAATGCCAGTACGTAATAACAATATTTGTTATGATGATCACCATCCTCGACAGTAACTAAGCCAACTAACATCCAGTATTTAATTTTGGATTTAAAATAACTGTAAAATAATACTCTTGCAACGAATTGGAAGATTCCTTTTTTTTTCATGCTGCGATAGATTTGCCATGAATAATATTCTTGAATTAGACCTAAAAATTACCTCAGTCGGCGACGACATTGGAGCAATGCACGTCGTGAAGGTACCGTACCTTTCCTTGAAAAACTTCCAGGCTTTATTCCCACTATCCATTGATTGGAGCCTTACCAAACCAAACTGATAAGTGTTTGAAAATTTAATTTTGGAACACTTCTAAATGATTTACCAAATTATAACTCGCATTCCAACCAACATTTGCAACATATATGATGTGACTTCCACCAACAACAAGGCGAAGCCATATTGAATGCAGTCGTCTCGCGATCTTAATAGATATAAACAAACACTAATACCCACTATAAGTCACGTGACCTGAGCCGCCAATTCGGTCTATTGATGATTCAGTTTTAATGTAATTAGTATATTTTAATTAGTCTATTAAACAGTCCTCAAAACTGTATTTTTGTGATAGTAGATTTCGTTCATGAAGTGTCCAGAGACCCATGCAGTGATGAAAAATAATATTTATTAAGACCTGAGACAGACAAGTATCTATCGCCATGATACAATCAAACCCATTGCAGAGTACAGAGTGAATATCAATATTTCCATGATTTACTTCGCCTATTATTATCACACTATCCACGGGACATTCTGGTGAAGAATCAATCAATCAATCAACCAATAAACCAATAAATCAATTAATATTTCCATTTATATGGCGCCAGTCATTGCCAAAAAAGATGATATGAAAATTGGGTCTTGAATAGTGACTTCAAATTGTCCAGTTAAGGTGAATATTTAATGTACAACGGAAGTTTATTCCAGAGCCTTGGTCCGACAGTGCTGAGGTGAAAGCCTGATCTCTTCAGCTATGTTTGCTCAATTCAATGTTTTACTATGTTTTAACTGCTTTAACTAAAACTACAATAATCCGATATCAAAATTTATCAGGATTTTGTTAAGGATTGTAAAGAAAATAGATATAATACACATAGGGCGTATTTGTAATGTTGGTTTCGATTTTACTTTATATCTAATATTATTACTGATTATACTTCTTCACATTACCAATCAAATCATGAATAATAATAAAAATGTATGCAATTTATGATGACGTTTATTAAAGAAAGAAATTAATATATTTTAAATTGTTGATATAATAATAGTGCAAAGAATATTCTAATGATAATAATATAAATGATAAATTGATGATCATGATGACGTTAAGAAAGATAATAAGATAATAAACACAAATTTGTAAGTTCAGGCAACATGATTTATAAACGATTATGATCATTTATATAAATAACTGGGTTATTATAAACTGAGATTCATGTTTGTGTACTGAAGACGTATTCATACGAAAACATAAGTGCTTATAAACGTGTTATTTTCTTTTTATGAAGATCTCTATATTGTTCTTTGGTCCAGGTGTTTGCGATGAGGAGTTTGCCAAAGCTTTGGTTTTATGGTTCGCTCACAATAGAGACACGTGTACGAAGACTCAAGGACGTCTCGTGGCACACACTACCAAACTCTCGCGACAAATAATATCTTAATAATCAAATAAGTAGGCCTAGCATACAATGATGGTGGTACGTTTGGAGTGAATTTTGAACAATGGCAATTGGGGATTCGATGAAGGGGAAAACTTAACTGGAAACTTTAATCAACCCTTCAACAGTAAATGTTATCGTCAATTAGGGCTCTTGTTGCGTAACATCCGAATAAAAGCCAATCGTACGACTACTACTGGACAACTATTAATGCAGTATTGACCTGTTTGAAAAATCAGCATGTAGTGGTCTATGTTATTGAGGGAGAAACCGACCTTGATAAGGTGAGGGACTTTAGGCCTACATTTCTCAAGAATATTCTGAGAACGTCACTATAGCGAAGGCGCGAATAAAAAAAAAAACAGTTTGGTAAACTCCTTAGTAGTTGTTATGTAAACTTCATATATAACTTCATGATAATGTTTCATAAGTTAAGACTTCTTAAAACAAATAGGCCTATTCATTATAGATTTAAGGTGGTTAGGCTCTATTTTGCAGTGGTATATTGAAAGATTTCTTAGACCTAAATTGAGTTCTTATGTCTTAATGTCTATTCCGGATATAATGTGAAAAGAACATAGTGTGACCGTTAGAACTAATCCCTGTTGCATTTTCACTGTAACTCTAATTGCGTGTATGTCTAGTTATACTTGAAAAAAAATTCGACCCTGCCAGGACTCGAACCTGGAATCCCCTGATTCGTAGTCAGATGCCTTATCCATTGGGCCTCAGGGCCGGTATTTTAGCCTAACATATATTTAGATAATTACAATTTTATATTTCATTATTATTGTTATTGTTTTTTGTTATTATTTTTATCATTATCATGATCGTCATCAAGATCATCATTATTGTTATTGTTGGTTATTATCATTATCATTATCATGATCGTCATCATTATCATCTTTATTATTGTTATTTTTTGTTATCATTATCATGATCGTCATAATAATCATCATTATTATTGTTATTGTTTGTTATCATTATCATGATCGTCATCATAATCATCGTTATTATTGTTATTGTTTGTTATTATCATTATCATGATCGTCATCATAATCATCATTATTTATTATTGTTTGTTATTATCATTATCATGATCGTCATCATAATCATCATTATTATTGTTGTTTTTTCTATATGTTGATGTCATTCTCACATGGAAAATTGTACATGGAAATGTTATAGAATTGCGTTTGATAACAGCATATCAACGTTTGCTGACCTATTCATAATGTAACAACTCAACTGACTATTAAAACAATTCAATCCTACACCAGTGACGTAACGCTTGGGCTCTCGGGGGCGAAGCACAGATCCCCCAGTCCATAGGGGCCATGAATGTGTGAAAATAAATTTATTTTATATTTTGTAGTCACACAATATGCAGTCTTTTCAGCCTTACTATTCATAAATGTCTTTTTTTTTAGTGAATACTTACTTTCATGAACCCCCCAACTGAAACAAGCATTCCAGCTTAAAGGGCTATCCTCTGCTATGTCATTTTTGTTTATTTTGTAAATGTCAATTGTAATATTTAAGATATATATTTTTTTTCACTATTTGTAAATGTATTGTTGTTTTATGACATAGCAATAAATATTACAAACAAACAAACACATGTTCGCCCCCGGCCCCACAATTCGTCGTTACACCACTGTCCGACCCCGTCAACACATACGCTTGCCTACGATCTCTTGTAAGATTCGCCTTTGCTACCAAAAAATGTGCGATGTTAGGTATACAGTGAGTTAAATCGTAGAGTTGGCTTCTTTCAGTTTTTTTTTTTTTTTTTTTTTTTTTTTTTTTTTTTTTTTTTTTTTTTTTTTTGTTTTTTTTATAAATGGTTTCAATCAAAATTGTTAGCAAGATCAAGAGTGCATTTCCAACGAGAGGCCGAAAGAATTTTTTTTTTAATCGAACTACTATGAAAACGTTAAATTATTTACCACAAAAGCTACAAATTAACATACAAAAACAAGCACCACTTCCATTATTCAATTAATAAAATAAAACAAATTAATCAACTCAAATAAGTTTATACGCTCATCACTGATAATTGATTATCAGTGAATTATTTTCAGATCCCAAAGGAATTAATGACATTATTGTTATTACAATGCCCTTATGCCATATATACGCCTTGATGACGTTTGCGGAAAATGATAAGAAACACAATAATTTGATAAAGATATTGGGCGATGCAATTTGTTCGTTGTATTGCTGCTGATAATTAATAGCAGTTATGATCATTTTTAATGTATGAATAAGTCTCTTACTTCGTATTAGCATTGTTATGTTGTTTCATTCTTTTACTCGGTTAGCTATTTTGTGAGAGTTCAATTGCTTATTATACGATATAGGCCTAAGCCTAATATCATTTGATTCGGTATGGAGAAATTGCTCCATTACTGGAAAAAAAAAACTGATACGTTTATGTTATAAGATGCTGTTCGTGTTATGCGGAGCATTGAATGTACTGTACATGAAATTAATGAATGTTTGAAAAGCTAAATTGAGGTTCCGCTGGTTGGCAAATCTTCTGAATAAACAAAAATAGCGGTAATACTAGACTCAAAGTGCCTCCGGTACTCATACTGTAACAATACTTTATTTTATTAAAATGGTATCTTCCTTCGACACCAAAGATTTTTTTTAATGAAATAATTTCACTAGATTAAAAAAAAAAATGGCAGCGTATCTTGGTTTATGATGATCACGTGTCGTGCCAGCGGCGAAATTCACGTCTGATTCTGCAACGTCAAGAATTCCCACGGTTAATCGCATCTTAATGTATTTTTAATCACGTATCGCATAGACCTATATCATCAAACAAACCATCACAATAATCATCGTTAACCAATTCCAAACATGTATTTATTGATGAACGTTTCGCAAATATTCTTTTCAGGTCTCGAATTACAATATTTTTATGTCAACAATATTCAGAGTTTACCTTAGCATCAATGTGTAAATACGCGTGGACAAACGTATAGGCCTACTAAACGTTGCACGTGAACGAAAAATAGCGCGTTGAGGAAAAGAGCTGGTAAGTAGTTTTCGTTGAGTTGTTCAAATACTGTAGTAAGCTTGCGGGAAAGTTGATCTTTTAGTTGTAAATCTATGAGGGCGGTATACGGGGCGGTAAACTAGAATCTTGTTTTGCAAAAGCACGAATCACCGTATCTTGCTTGTCGTGGCGTGCTTTCAAAAGGACTATGCGGAACTGTTCAAATAGCCTATTTTGATTCTCATCAAAAAGCGAAAACTAGTGCAATTATTCTGTAACTAGCGAACAAAATCTTTCTTGATTTTTCGGATAGACCTATTTTGTTTTAAAATATGCCTAATTATACTTCTAATGTACATATTGAGGTTAATTATGATAATATAAAAGCTAAATACTGTATATGAATTAGCTTCTTTTTACAATGTAGGTGTGAGTCATTACATGTAAAAAAAAATTAACATTAATACATTGTGTATTATTAGAATTAAAAAATTTAATTCCAATAATAAAGAAATAATCATTAATTCTTAAAAACTAACTACACTAGTATGCAATAGTATAGTCGCATATCATTCTAGTGAAAATTATTATACGAAGATAAGATTAATGCAAGAAAAATATTCCCGAGGGCATGCAAGGCCCGAA